ATGGCGAACGTATGTGCCCTATAGCAAAAAACTCTCAAAAAAAAAAAAAAAAGGAAAAAAAATCCTGTAGAATAACAATTGTGTGTGACCCTATGGCCAGGAAGCATAGCATGGAAAATTCTGACCCAACAGTGATACTATCCTAGGTTTGCGTTTACATTCTCACACTTTTGCCACATTAGCACAGGGGAATATCAGAATCAAACGAGTACTCTTTAGAAGCAAAGTTTGTTAAGGACCAAAAAGAGAAACAGATGTATCTCCTACTTTAGGGATTCCCTAACACAGTAACCCACAATATTAATTTTGAGGTTCAAGAACAGGAACAGTATTCCTAAGAGAACTAGAAGGGCAGCTGAGATTTCCAAGGGCCTCCAATCAACTATAATGACATTAACCGTTTTTCCCTAGCCAGTGGTTCTCAATTTATCTCTACATTAGAATAACCTAGAGGGAGCTTGCAAATTAAATCTGATACCCATGTAGTACCCCTAACTGATTAAACAAACATCTCTGTGGTAGGGACCCAGGCATTTGTATTTTTAAAGACCCCTAGGTGATTCGGATGTTCAGCCAACATGAAAACCACTGCCTTAGTATTATACAGAGACAAAACTTAATTCAAAGAACTGTAGTAAGATTTGTAAATCACATGGAGTAATTATTACCATTATCTCTTAGGGCTATCCAGTATCGCCCTTAAATTAAGTTCAAAATTGGCTGGTTTGGACATTGGATTGGATGGGGAAAATCGGCTAAACAAAACACAACTCTGTTGGAAATTTAGTTTTCTGCCAACTGCATGTTTGAATATTTGTGGCCCAACTTCAAATAAAAGCAGTTTTTTTCTTTTTTTTTTTTTTAACTGAATCATAGGATTTACAATATACAGCTTGACTGACAGTGTTGTGGGCAACTCAACAACTTTAGAGATTCCTTCCTACTTAAAAGTACACTGTGAACATTTATTTTATTCATTTCCAGAATAGGAAACTGGACTTGATTCTTGCTTTTGACAATTTGTTGGATTTGGAAAACAGTCCGAATAATATACATTTTTATTTTGTTTACTCTAAATTTAGACTGAATGATTGCGAAGACTTCTTACATCTCTTAACATTCTGATTTGATAATGTATACTTTGTCCCACTTCCCAAGGCATTTGTTCTCAAATCACTGAGGTTCATATAGTGACACCATTTATTTTCACTATTTAAGCCACATCTTAATGACAAAGAATTGTACAATAACTTGATTGTTTTGCTTGGTACACAGTAAGTACCAAAAGTCCTGAGCTTTACAAGAACAACAGAAAATGCATGCATCATCTACTCATCTCCAGCAGAGACCAAGAGAATTACCTGCTTTTTAATATAAACTTCACTTTTCTATTAAAAAAAAAAAGTGTCTTAGGAGGCATTCACTGAAGGGAAATTGCTGGCCCTAAAGGCTAAAATGTGATAAGATAAATGATTTCTAGTCTTTCACTTCAGCCAAATGGTAAATAAGTCACAAATGAAATAACTTTAGTGCTATTAATTCTCAAAAGCAGATTTAGGCAGAGACTTCAGTAAGCCTGAAATCAGCACTTAATTTTTCATTTTCTCTTTTCTGGGAGCTTTCAATGGAACAGTTTCAATTCTAAATTTAAGCTA